ATAAAGACGAAATACAAGGGTACTGACCTGGTGTCCAACAGTGAGCAAGTAAGGAGACGCTCTGTGGACACCAGGGTTATATAGGTGAAAAGAAATAAGGTTTGGGAACTGTACAGTAGCTCGGAGTTCTCCATAGTAAGCCAAAGAGTAGAGAAAGGCAAAATAGGGGCAAAGTCGCGAGATACTGGAATAGGAAGGTGGTGAAGGTATAAACAAGAGACAAGCAGAAGTATACCTCAACACACAATAGCTGAGTGGTTGCAGCGCTCTGGGCACTACCACAAGGCTCTAGGTTCAACTCACACAACTGGCAAGTTTTACCTCTTTTTACCCAAGTGTCCTGGAATGCTGGAAAGCGTACCAAGGCCACTGGGCTGCTGTGCCAAGGGCATAGGAGCGATGCAGAGGTGCTGGGCGCACTCTGACACTTTGCCCCTATTTCGCCTTTGTCTACCCTTATTTCTTTTCACCTACATAATCCTGGTGTCCACAGAGTGTCTCTTTACTTGCTCAATGTTGGAAATCAGTGTCTCTTCTGAGCGTGATAGGTTATGAGCCCCGCGCTCTCAGCCGTCTGGAACGTTACAAACCGCCTCAACGTCGCTCAACGCGTCCTAGAAGCCCCTCACCACCACTCCATCCACTCTATCCGGCCCCTACTCCCTATCTGATCTCCTTGATCTCTCTCCTGTACCACTCCATCGCTGTCACCACCACTCCAGCACTGCGCCTACGCTCCCTAGCACCTGCGATCACGCCGATCACGTTGCCAACGTGCTCAGCGACCGCAAAAACCCTCTCCTAGGTCGCCCTCTTGTGCTGGATTGCTGGGGATTGAGCCGATAGCTGGATTAGTGCCTGTTGGCTGGTTTTGGGCATCTTTGGTGTGTTTCTGTCGCTCTCAGCGCTCTCCCTGCGCGCCCCTCGCTGTCCCTCGACTCCACGTCGCTCCTGGACGCTCTCTGCACCCCCTCCTCGCGCCTCAACGCTTCCCATCTCCTCACCATCTCCTCACCTCTTCACCTCCTCTGCTGCTGCACCCCTTGTCCCCTCGCTCTCCCATCGTCTTCTACACCTCTTCATCGTCCCCATGCCCGACGCCGACGCCTCTAAGCATATCAAGGCCCTGACCAAGGACAACTATGCGTCCTGGGCTGTGGACTTCAGCGCTCTAGCTCGCTCCAAGGGGTTCTACAGGCTTTTGAAGGGGACTGAGACGCGTCCTCAGGATCCTGACAAGGCTGAGGACTGGGATACTCGCCAGGAGAAGGCTGCTGGCGAGCTCATGCTCTCCCTGTCTGAGGAACAGCGCATCCATGTCAAGGGCAAGGAGGATGATCCCACTGCTATGTGGGACGCTCTCCAGGCTGTGCATCAGCAGAAGATCCCTGGCACTCGCTTCAATGCTTTCGACGACTTCTTCGCCCTCAGGAAGCGTCCTGAGGAGTCCCTCAGCTCCCTCATTGCCAGGGTGGACACCCTCTATGCCAGGATCAAGGACCTTCGCCCTCCTGCCTACACCCTCGACTCTCTGGACCAGGAGCTGGCTTGCATGGCCCTCATTCGTGCTCTCCCTGAGGAGTACTCCCACTTTGTCTCTGCCCTCATGCTCCAGTCCACTCTGGACAAGGATGCTGTGGTGCAAGCGTTTATCCAGGAGGAGAACAACACTCGTCGCTCTACAGCGCCTGTGGCCTCCTCAGAGGCTGTCCTCGCCATCTCGGCGCCCTCTTCTGGCTCTGCCCCTTCCCTCGACCACTGGGGAGCTCCTCTGCTCGTTCTGTGAGAAGCCCCACCACTGCTTCCACAAGTGCTTTGCCCTTCGGCGTGCTAAGAACGAGCTCAAGGCCCAGTCGAGCTCTAGGAAGCCAGTCTGGTCGCTCTCAGCGTGGCAACCAAGCCCAGGCAGTCGCTCCCAGCCCTGGCACTTCCACCACTGCTCCTGTCCCTCCCTCGGCCTCTCAGGCTGTTGTGGAGTATGCTGGCAATGCAAGTCTTCGCTCTTCTCCTTCCCCCACCAGTCCCACCTGTCCTCTCCAGCTCGATGCAGACGCTCACTGGATTGCAGACACAGGCGCCACTTCTCATATGACCCCTCACCGTCACTGGCTGCGCTCCTACACGCCTATGCGCGTCCCAGTTCGCCTTGCTGACCACACTGTGGTCTACTCAGCTGGTGTAGGTACATGCAGCACCCTACTAAACTCTACAGCCCTCGCTTCCTTCCCTCTCACCCTAGGACAGAATACCACAGACCGTGTTGTTGTCCCTCTCAAGGCCAAGTCTGACGTCTTTGCTGCTTTCAAACGGTTCAAGGCCTTTGCTGAGACCCAATGTGAGCAGGATCAAGGCCCTGCAGGGTGACAAGGGTGGCGAGTACATCCAACGAGTTCCTCACTTTCACAGAGGAGTGTGGCATAGTGCGCAGGCATACTGTTCGCAATCGCCCTCAGCAGAATGGGGTTGCTGAATGTGCCAATGGGGTGCTCTCTGAGTGCATCACTGCTCTCCTGAACAAGTCTGGCCTGCCCAAGTCGTTCTGGGGGGAGTGCCTTGCTGCTCTGGTGCATGTGTGGAACCGCTTGCCCACTGAGGCTGTCCCTGAGGGCACGCCCTACCAGCTATGGCATGGGTGTAAGCCTGACGTCTCCCACCTCCGAGTCTGGGGCTGCACTGCCTATGTGCATGTGCAGAGGGATAAGCGTCGCTCTCTGGGCTCCCATGTGGAAAAGTGCGTCTTCCTTGGCTATCCTGAGGGATACAAGGGCTGGAAGTTCTACAACCCCACCACCAAGCGCACTGTCATCTCAGAGCGTGCTGACTTTGATGAGCGCTACTTTCCTGGCCTCTCCAGGCCTAGGAGCGCACCTCCCCCTGCACCCCCTGTGGGTGTCTATGTTCCTGATGAGCTTGATGAGCCATTGGGCCATGGGGGGGAGAATGGTGCTCCACCTGCGCCGCCTGCGGTCTCAGG